TTTATTTTTTGAGATGGAGTTTCACTCTTGTTGCCCAGGTTGGAGTGTAATGGTGCAATCTCAGCTCACTGCAACCTCTGCCTCCCAGGTTCAAGCAATTCTCCTGCCTCAGCCTCCTGAGTAGCTGGGATTACAGGCGCCCAGGGTGTGTGTGTGTGTGTGTGATAGTTGAAATCATTTTCTACTAATATTCTGTATCCTGCTGTATTCAAATATCTGTCTATGTCATTACATGTTCTTTGTAACATACATTTTTAAATTTTGTTTTATTTTTTGAGACAGGGTCTCACTCTCTTGGCCAGGCTGGAGAGCAGTGGTGTAATCATGGCTCACTGCAGCCTCCGTCTCCTGTTCTCAAGTGATTCTCCCACCTCAGCCTTCTGAATAGCGATGCCTACAGGCATGTAGCACCACACTTGGCTAATTAAAAAACAAAATTTAATATAGAGAAGGGGTCTCGCTATACTGCCCAGGCTGGTCTTGAACTCTTGGGCTCAAGTGATTCTCCCACCTCAACCTCCCAAAGTGCTGGGATTACAGTTGTGAGCCACCATACCTGGCCTATAAATGTAAATGTTAATGGTGATTATAATGTTTCATCACAAAGATGATCTATAATTTATTCGACATTCTGTTTCCAATTTTACAAGATTGTAAATAACACTTTAATGAACATCTCTGTCAAAAGTTTTTGCCCATATTCCAGATTATTTCCTTGACTATTGAATATAATAAGTGGAACTATTGGTTCAAAAAGTATGAATGTCTTCTATAACTTTTAACAATAATGCCAAATTGCTTTCCAGTAGAGCTGTACCAATTTAGATTTCCACCAACAGTATTTGGGAGAATTTCAGAGTTTCTGACCCACTACAGCTTTAAATGGGATCCTTTTAAAATTCAAGCCACCAGATTTTTTTTTTTTTTTTTGACAGGGGCTGGACTACTTTTGAACATAACCACAGAGATAGAAGATAATACATTACTAATACTAGGATGTAAACAGATATTATCCCAGTGTGTCGTCGTGTGCCCTTATGTGGATTATAGGACATTGGTGTCTTGTTGGAAGGTGTCCACTGCTAGAGGCTGACCTGTACATGTTGGTATGGGGTACTGAGATACACATTCAAGGATATATGTCATGTTGGCAGAACTCCTGCTCAGGGTGTGGGAATGAGACATGTAGGATGCAGAACCCTGACTGGAAGGGGATGGCTTAGTCCAGTGGATCTCAATCATTTATGAACGTCATATCTCGGGGAAGCTGTTTAAAATGCAGATTCCTGGGCCCTGTTCCCAGAGACTTGGATTCAGGAAGTCTGGGGTAAGGCCCAGAAGCCTTTTTTGCTGGTGGGTTTTTTTTTTTTTTTTTTTTTTTTGAGGTGGAGTCTCTCTGTCGCCCAGGCTGGAGTGCAGTGGCATGATCTTGGCTCACTGCAACCTTTACTTCCCAGGTCAAGCAACTCTCCTGCCTCAGCCTCCTGAGCAGCTGGGACTACAGGCACGCATCATCCGCGCCCAGCTAATTTTTGTATTTTAGTTTCACTACATTGGCCAGGCTGGTCTTGAACTCCTGGCCTCAAGGGATCCACCTGCCTTGGCCTCCCCTCTCAAAGTGCTAGGATTACAGGCATGAGCCATTGTGCCCACCCTCCAGAAGTCTTCATTTTCTTTTTTTCTTTTTCTTTTTTCTTTGAGACAGAGTCTTGCTCTGTTGCCCATGCTGGAGTGCAATGGCACAATCTTGGCTTGCTGCAGCGTCCGCCTCCTGGGTTCAAGTGATTCTCCTGCTTCAGCCTCCCGAGTAGCTGGGACTACAGGCATGCACCACCATGCCCAACTAATTTTTGTATTTTTAATAGAGACAGGGTTTCACCATGTTGTCCAGGCTGGTCTCGAACTCCTGACCTCAGCTGATCCACCTGCCTTGGACTCCCAAAGTGCTGAGATTACAGACATGAGTCACCACATCCAGACGAAGTCTTAATTTTCTAAAAGTACTCCAGTGGTTGCTGTGCCACAGGAAGTGCTTGGACCCAGCTTTGGGAAACAGTACAAGGCACAAGCCTGCGTGGGCTGGAGGCCACCATGAAATAGCTGCCACTCTCTTTAGAGCAGTAATTCTGAACCCTGGCTGCATATCAGTATCCTCCCGGGAGGTTTCCAAAATGCTAATGCCAAGCCCCCACCCCACCCCTCACTCTCTGTCAAGTTTTTCTATTTGAATCGATTTGGGACAGGGTCTAGGCATCAGTTTGTTTTAGAAGCTCCCAGGTTTAAAGGGATGTTCTAGAAATACAGCTAGGATTGAGAATCACTCTAGAATTTCCCCAAGTGTCTGATACCCAACTGAAACAAAGGGACACACGATAGAGCGTTTGCTCATCTGCCACCCTGATTGGGGTTTCAGGCTGACAACGGGGAGGGGAGGTCAGCGTGCTTGGGAAGAGGCTGGAAGGCACACCCCAGTAGCGAGATGGGTGAACCCCATTCTTAGCAATCAGGGAGAGAAGTAGTGAATTCTAAAGTGGAAAGCCAGTGGGGTTTAAGGTACCAGGTAAGTAAGTAGGTCAAGATCTGTTAAGTGAGAGACCATGGCTAAGAAAGCTTTCTAATATTTCCCAGCCTTTGTCACTCCCTGTTTGTTGCTTCGTTATCTTTATTCATTTCCTTGAGATGATCACAAGTAGAAATATTTAAAAGAGAAAAGGTTGTGTGCTTTTCTTCAGTGTACTCAAGAAACAGCAGAGCTCTGTTATTTTATTTCTCTCTAATTCTGTGAAAAGGGTGTTATTTAGCTCTATTTTGTAGAGAACGAAAGTGAAGTTCAGAGAATTTAAGAAGTTACTTACTCAGCTAGAGAGTAAATTAGGGTGGATCTGCCTGACTGCCAATCAAAGACAGATGAAACTGCTGAGATGTTAATGAAGACTTCTTTGCCATTAGCAACATGTAAACGTACATTCATATGTGCATGCATACATGCATGCTAAAGCAAGTACATATATTTTAAATGTATCTGATTGACTTTTGACTTTTAAAATGTTATTTTATTATATAAAAGATATTTTCTATCTCACAAGTCATCAAGCAATAAATGTTATTTAAAATAATCTATATACACATATAATACAAACAAGCAAATTAAACCATGGAAACTGATTATTTATTTATTTTTAAAATTTTATTTATTTTATTTTTTGAGATGGAGTTTCACTCTTGTTGCCCAGGTTGGAGTGTAATGGTGCAATCTCAGCTCACTGCAACCTCTGCCTCCCAGGTTCAAGCAATTCTCCTGCCTCAGCCTCCTGAGTAGCTGGGATTACAGGCGCCCACCACCACACTCAGCTGATTTTTTGTATTTTTAGTAAAGATGGGGTTTCACCATTGGCCAGACTGGTCTCAAATGCCTGACCTCAGGTGATCCACCTGCCTCAGCCTCCCAAAGTGTTGGGATTACAGGTGTCAGCCACTATGCCCAGCCTATTTATTTATTTATTTAGTTTTGAGAAGGAGTATCGCTCTGTTGCCCATGCTGGAGTGCAGTGGCATGATCTTGGCTCACTGCAACCTCTGCCTCCTGGATTCCAGCGATTCTCCTGCCTCAGCCTCCTGAGTAGCTGGGATTACAGGTGCCTGCCACCACGCCCAGCTAATTTTTGTATTTTTAGTAGAGATGGGGTTTCACCATGTTGGCCATGCTGGTCTCGAACTCCTGACCTCAGGTGATCCGCCCACCTCGGCCTCCCAAAGTGCTGGGATTACAGGCATGAGCCACCACACCTGGCCAAGTTCTACCTCTTTCATAAACTTTTCCTAGATGAATCAACACCTGTTTATAGGAATTTTTTACTTGCTTTTAATTTATGTAGTATTGTTATTGCCTTGAGATGTTCACTAGGTGGTTCATGTACCTAAGTCTTGACTCTCCAGCTGAATTGCTAGGATCTTTGAGGGCAGAGTGCATTTCTTACTTGTATCTCCTACAGTTTTCTTTATCAAAAATGTTTAATGGGGCTGGATGTGGTGACTCATGCCTGTAATCCCAGCACTTTGGGAGGGTAGGCAGGTGGATCACCTGAGGTTAGGAGTTCGAGACCAGCCTGGGCAACATGGTGAAAACCCCTCTCTACTAAAAATACAAAATTAGCCAGGTGTGGTGGCACATGCCTGTGGTACCAGCTACTCGGGAGGCTGAGGTAGGAGAATCACTTGAACCTGGGAGGTGGAGGTTGCAGTTAGCTGAGATTGTGCCACTGCACTCCAGCCTGGGCGACAGAGTGAGACTCTGTCTGAAAAAAAAGAAAAAAAAAAATGCTTACGGGGCCAGTTTTGTGGTGGCTCATGACTGTAATCTCAGCACTTTGGGAGGCTAAGGTGGGTGGATCCCCTGAGGTCAGGAGTTCAAGACCAGCCTGGTTAACATTCTGAAACCCCGTCTGTACTAAAAAATACAAAAATTAGCTGGGCGTGGTGGCACATCCTGTAGTCCCAGCTACTCGGGAGGCTGAGGCAGGTGAATTGCTTGAACCCGGGAGGCACAGGTTGCAGTAAGCCGAGATCACACTACTGCACTCCAGCCTGGGTGACACAGCAAGACTCCATCTCAAAAAAAAAAAAAAAAAAAAAAAAAGCTTAAGGAAAACTTGGAGAATGAATAAATGACTTCTGGAATGACAGGTGCAAATTCACCTTTTATGCTTTGGCCTCTCTACCAATTCTAAACTCTTAAGAGTATTTCCCTACTAGTGAGTAGGAACCTAGTCCAAAGTCATTGATTATTTTTTTTCTCCTTGCCTGCCCATCTTTCTTGGCCTCCCTTCCCCAGCTGCTCCAGTGCCCAGATGTGGCAGCCTTAGTGGATGACTTCACCACCCGCATTCTGGCAAACTGGTTCAAGAGTGAGGAGCCAGCCATAGTGAAGCCATTGCTGCAGATGCTAGAGGTCTTTGCGAAGCATGAAAACATGGTAAAATGGGGCAGGGGCTAAGGGTGTGCTCTCAGGCGATGTTGTAACCAGGGGAGGTAACATCTGCTGTGTTCAGTTATAGATAGGGTGGGACACACTCTTGGGATCAAAGAGAGCAAATCCTCATGAGGCCAATGCACCACAGACAGGGGTTGGGGCTTGAGCCATTCACGATTTCTCCCTCCGGGAAAGGTCTCCTGAGGAAGTTTTTTCATGGGTCATTTCAGAGAATAGATGAAGCTAACCCCAGGATCTCACACATGTCATCCAGGTCCCCTGGAGGTTGCTGTCATCATCAGGGATGAGAAGGGCAGTGGCGATGGAAACTTATGGCATGGTGGGAGGAGGGGGCCTCCTCTGTTTTCTCCCCTTTTCTCATGATGGACGCAAGGTACCTCCCCAAATGCTCTCCTGGGCTACTCACTCTGAGGGCTCCCCAGATGCTGGGCCAGTCCCAGCTCTGGAATGAAAAAACAGTAGAGTGTGGTTCTCATTTGCGGGGCTGAATTGACTTGAAATGAGAATTCCTTGACTTGGCAGGAGTCATTTCCCCAGCTCCCCATCCCCTGAGCCACTGTCGCCCGCAGGTGAGGCGGCTCCGAATCCTCCAGCCGTATGTGCTGAACTGCTGCTACTCCTCGAACAGCGACATAGTACTGGAGACTTTGCTGGTGCTGAAGAATCTCCTGAGCCACCTCACCTGGCGGCACTCCTCCTCCTTCCTGATCCAGCTCACCTTCACGCTGGTGCCCTTCTTTGAGGAGGTAAAGGCCCCTCTGGGGTCATTTTCTTTCTCTCGGCATCTGTAAAATAAGGGAGTTGGCCAGGCATGGTGGCTCACGCTTGTAATCCCAGCACATTGGGAGGCCAAGGCAGGAGGATCACATGAGGCCAGGAGCTCAAGATCAACCTGGGCAACATAGTGAGACCCCATTCTTACAACAACAACAAATTAGCTGAGTCTGGTGGTGTGCACTTGTGGCCCCAGTTTCTTGGGAGGCTGAGGCAGGAGGATTGCTTGAGCCCAGCAGGTCAAGGCTGCAGTGAGCTGTGATTGTGGCATGCAATCCAACCTGGGCGACAGAGCGATACCCTGTGTCAAACAAAACAAAACAAAACAAAACCCCTCACAGAGTTGGCAGAATGATTCAAGGCCCTTCACCTTGAATATGGTACTGTTCTGTAGGGACTTGATTGCTCCTGCCCTCCTTGTATCTTTCTGAAGGGGTGAGATGGAGCGAGAGAACAGACCACAGCAGGCGGGGATCAGAGCAGATCATTTGAGGGAGGGAATGGACAGGGGAGTGTGGGGTTGGCGGGGGTGGAGCTCAGGGACCTGATTGCTTCTGCTTCCCCACGCATGCGTGTCTTCTCTCCCAGGTGTCAGAGCATCTGCGGTTGGCAGCCTTTGAGATCTATGAGAGTCTCTTGGCCAAGGTCAAGAAGAGAGGCCTTGTCTTCCCCTTGAAGCACCAGATTCTCAACTTGCTAGTCCCTCTGGTGCTCCACCTGAGGGACGTAAATACCGACGTGGCTCTGGTGAGAGGCCAGGCCTTGGAGCCTGGTCTTCAGTCCCCGTTTTCATGGGAGGTAAATGCTAAGCATGTTGAGTGCTTAGGCAGGGCTGTGGCAGTACTGGATGGTGCTGAAGGAGTCAACTAGTCTCTGACCTTGCCGAATGACAGACTAGAGATGAACAGGCGCTTGCACTAAAGTTTTCTCCAGTTTCTGGCTCCATCTGGTTGGCCACTGACTCCCAGTGGAATACTGTGGGTGTTTCTCCCAGGAGGAAAATCTCATCGACGGGCAGCAGTCCCTCTCTCTGCCTCCCAGCCTGTGGCTCCAGGAGCCCCCTCTCCATGCTGCTTTCTGCATACTCTCTGCCTGTGAATGGAGACAGAGCTCCCTGGGTCGGGAAGACCCTGTGGGAGGCAGTGTGGTGGGCAGAATAGAGAGAGCCTGGAACTGGCCTTCATTCCGGAATGAATGAGTCCAGCTTTGAGCCCAGGAGACCCAGGAACGTGAACTGCAGCTTGAACACTTGAAGACTGGCTGACTTACTCTGTGACAGGACACCTTGTTTCCACAGAGCAGGCCACTCTGCCATCACTGAGGCCTCTTAGGCACATCTGAGTCCGGCTGGGCAAGCGATTGAATGGGGATATTTGTGCGGAGAGTCCCACCGGTGAACTCAGCCGTAGTATTCCTGACAGAGCCAGCCCTGATTTAGAACAGTGACCACCCAGTTGGGGGATTAAGACTTTGGGGAAATTTATTTTCAGAGAGACTGTTTTGTGGGGCAGGGAGGGTTGCGGGGGCGGCAGCGTGGGAAGCCATGCGGCTGGTGAATAAGGCTCTGAGCTAAATAGTTCCAGTGCTCTGGGTCTCAGTGTCACACCACAGCAACTGGGAAAATTGTTAGAACTGTAATTTTTAAACTTCTTATTAGGGGGAATAGGGGGTTGTAAGTAGAGCCAACCTGCCTGGACCCCTGCCTTTTTCCTAAGCCCTGGATCCCTGTCGATTCACCAGCGTTTCCATCCCATCGAGGCTGAGTGTGATGCTGCTTGTCTCTGTTCTTTGCACCCCTCCATTTCCCTGCCCAGTCCCACTCCTCAGCTCCTCATGCTGAGCCTCCTTGTCTCCCAGATCTGCCGGTCTGCCCTCTGCCACACAGCTGCCATGCTGGGCTGGTCAAAGCTGAAAGCAGTATTTGCAGAGAAAGATGTGTGGAACATTCTTGGAACCCTGGTAAGCCAGCAGCTTGCTCACTGTCTGCTCCTATGCAAGGGAGGGTGGCGTCCCCAGCGGTCTAGGTCGTTTTCCTGCAGCTCTGGGGTTTGCAGCAGTAGTGGCAGCGGCAACAGCAACAGTTCAATGATGAGATACTCATTAAGCACCTAGTTTGTGATTGGCACCTAGATATAGTTCCTGCCCTCCCCTTGTTTCCTGTCTGAATTGGGGAGCTAGACACACAAGTAGACAATCTCAGCATACTTCGGGAAAGGCAAAGGAGGGGTACCCAGCACAGTCTGGAAGTTGAAGGAAGGCTTCCTGGAGGAGGTGTCATCTTCAGAAGGAGAAATATAAGACAGGGTAACACTTAGGCAAAGGGAAGGAATCAAGAGTGCAGGCCAAGGTGATGCTGTACATAGGGGTGTGGAGCACAGCACACATTATCTGGTATGATTTGATCCTTACAACCATCCTGAGAAATAAGGGCAGAAGGGCCTGGTGTGTAGGGAGCTATTAATGTAAGTGCCTTGGAATCATTAGAGCAGGGGCAGAAAAGGCAAATGCTTACAAGGTCATGCAGGAAACACTAACCAGAGATCAGACTGGATGGGCCCGGAGGAGAGATGTAGGCCCCAAGACCCAGCACAGGCAGCCTCCTCAGCATGGCCAGAAACCACACACCATTGTCACAGCACACATCTAGTAACACCGCCTTTACTCTCCTAAAGTGAAATTCATAAATAATATCCTCTACCTTTGCATATTTCCAAAATAAGTCATATAATGCCCTAACTCCAAAGAAGAAGTGAAAGTAATCTACAACAAAATAATCTGTAGGAATATATGGAACACAATATAGCATAACATGATATAATAATAGAATATAAATACTGTATGTAAATGCTTGGGCCAAGTTACTTTTTATTTATTTATTTATTTTTTTGAGACAGAGTCTCACTCTGAAGCCCAGGTTGGAGTGCAGTGGTGCGATCTTGGCTCACTGCAACCTCCGCCTCCCAGGTTCAAGCGATTCTCCTGTTTCAGGCTCCCGAGTAGCTGGGATTACAGGCACTTGCCACTGGGCCCAGCTAATTTTTGTATTTTTAGTAGAGACGGGGTTTCTTTTTTCTTTTGCTTTTTCTTTATTGAGATGGGGTTTCATCATGTTGACCAGGCTGGTCTCAAACTCCTGACCTCAGGTGACCTGCCTGCCTCAGCCTCCCAAAGTGCTGGGATTATAGGTGTGAGCCACTGCACTCTGCCAGGGCCCAGTTACTTTAGTAGACAATGATGTACATGAATCCTTGCCCCTCTCCATAGAATCACTGTGAATGGATCTGCTACAAATGCAGAATGATATGGGAGTCACCACAAGAAGGGTCACCACAAGAAGGGTCACCATTGGTGATGGGAATTCCAAAACGATTGTATTAATAGCTCCCCCGACACCAGGAAAGTCTGATTAGACCAGAAAGTCTGATGACTTTCTGAACAAGATGAAGTATAGTCTTTGATGTCTATTGCAGATGCACTCCTAGAAAATCCAGTATGTAGTTGAACTGTGAAAAACTACTCTATTATCTAAAAGAGCCAACTTCTAGGCATGGATTAGTATAAGTAGGATTGTGGTAGACATAAATGTGTAATGGGGTATCAGAAATTGTTGTACCCCCCTCATCATTTTGAAAACCATAAACATCCCCCAGTTCCATAATTCCCTCCACACAGTATAGTCCCCAGTTGAGAACCCATGAATTGTTTCTAGGAGAGAAAGTGGCTCAGGGTTGTTAAGAGAAGCAGGAAATCCATGCCAGGTGCGGTGGCTCACACCTGTAATCCCAGCACTTTGAGAAGCCAAGGTGGCCGGATCACCTGGGAACAGGAGTTTGAAACAGCCTGGCCAACATGGGAAAACCTTGACTCTACTAAAAATACAAAAATTAGCCAGGTGAGATGGCGGACGCCTGTAATCCCAGCTACTGGGGAGGCTGAGGCAGGAGAATCGCTTGAACCCAGGAGGCGGAGGTTGCAGTGATCTGAGATCGAGTCACTGCTCTCCAGCGTGGGTGACAGAGCAAGACTCTGATTGGGGTGAAATTTCCCCCATTGATGTTGGCAAATAATTTAAAATGTAAAATACTGCATAGATCAAACAAAAAAAAATATCTTCAGGCTGACTTTTCTCATGGACTGTCAGTGTGCAGTCCGGTCCAGGCAGGAGACACGGAAGCAGGAGGCTGGGCCACAGTGTTCTGTGGAGGTTTGGGCCCAGTGAGGAGCAGGACTTGAGGCTGTAGGCAAGGGGAGTTGTTGAAGCATTTTAAGCAAGTGGGTAGCATGGTTAGAGAGCTGTGCATTTCACACAAATCACCCAAGCTACAGATCAGAGAAATGTTCCCAAGGGATGGAATTGGAGCCTGTGCTGTATAGAGTGTCTGGGGAGAGATGATGAAGTCAAGAAGACAAAGGCATGGGCGGGATTAGCTAGTTGTGGAGATTGATTTGATATGAAGTGTGAAAGTAAAAGTTGCCTCTTGGCTTCTGACATGGGTGAATGCTGGTGTCCTGGACTGAGGTCAGAAATACAGAGGGAGGAACAGGTGTGGAGGGGAAGGTGGTGGCTTGATTTTGTGCATGTTAAGCTTCTAAAATCTGTGAGAACACCACAGGTTTGTGCTTCCATTGGAAGTTAGATATGTATCACTGAAGCTTGGAGAACAGGGCTGTGTTTGGTGAACCCTGAGCATACCGTTGGGTAGTAGATGAAGACTGCAACCCTAAGCCCAGATACACTCTCCTAAGGAAATTGTGTGGTGGGAGGAGCATATGAGTCAACACTGAGATCCCAGGAGACATCAGTTCCAAGGATCCCACAGAGGAGACTAGAAAGGGAAACCTGGCAGAAAGTCAAAGGAGGACAACAAGAGAGGAGGGTCATGGTCACCTAGGAAGGACCATGACCAGTTTCAGGAAGCAGTCAAGGGTACAAAAACCCAAGGATTTCTCGGGTAACTTCAAAAGATGGGAGAGATGAGCAGGCAGGCTAGGCTCAGCCTCCCCACCTCCTTCAACCCCAGCAGCTCCACTTCTCCTTCTCCTTCTCCTTCTCCTTCTCTTTCTCCTTCCTCTTTTTTTGTAGAGACAGAGTCTTGCCATGTTGCCCAGGCTGGTCTCCAACTCCCGAGCTCAAGTGATCCTCTTGCCTTGGCTTTCCAAAGTGCTGGGATTACAGGCGAGGGCCACCACATCCGCCCCCCACTGCTTCTATTAGTTTGAGATATTGGGTTTCCAGTTAAGATTTCTTTTTGAAGAAAAGATCCTGCCAAAAGAAGCTGGGAAAAACCATGGATGTAGCCTTCTGTTTTAAGAACTTAGACTGCAGAGTGAAAGAGGAGAGTGAGGATCGGAGCTAGGAAGGAGATGCAGGAGACGGGGTTTGGGTTAGTGGTTGTCGCAAAGGGAAGGACACATCATCCTTTGAACCTTCAAGGATGGAAGTCTGATGAACGCAGAAGGGGCTGTATTCCTAGGCAGGTGATGGAAGGTATGAAAACACGTAATTACATGCAGCACTGCTAGGCTCTGTTTATTTTTATTTATTTATTTTAAATATTTTATTTCATTTTATTTTATTTATTTACTTTTTTGGAGACAGTCTGGCTTTGTTGCCCAGGCTGGAGTGCGGTGGCGCGATCTCGGCTCACTGCAACCTCCACCTCCTGGGTTCAAGCGATTCTCCTTCCTTAGCCTCCTGAGAAGCTGGATCTACAGGCGCGTGCCACCACACCTGGCTGATTTTTTTGCATTTTGGTACACACGGGTTTCACCATGTCGCCCAGGCTGGTCTTGAACTCCTGAGTTCAGGTGATCTGCCTGCCTTGGCCCTCCGAAAGTGCTGGGAGTACAGGCGTGAGTCACTGTGCCTGGCCTATTTTAAAAATTTTAGGTTCGGGGGCATGGCTGCTGGTTTGTTACATGGGTATATTGTGTGATGCTGAGGTTTGTGCTTCTAATGTTCCCATCCCCAAGGAGTGAACATAGTCCGTAGGTAGTTTTGCAACCCTTGCCCCACTCCCTCCCTCCTGTTTTTTGGAATTCTCAGTGTTTATTGTTCGCATCTTTGTGTTCGTGTGACTGAGGCTCTGCTTAAACAGAATGCTGTAGGCATGATGTTTTGCAACCTAAAGCGTATGACCTTGAGATTGAAGATTTAAACTAAGACAGAAATAAACAGGATTTAAGCAATAGGGTTCACCTTATTGTTGGGAGTAGGAGAAAAAAATGTATGCGCCAAACACTGGGGCCAGTCTCTATGAGCCTCATGCTTAAACTGGGTCAAGGCCAGGGAGTATGATCTCTGTGGCATGGTCAATCCGGGAAGGCTTCATGAAAGAAAGAAGATTTCAGGAGCTGTGGTAGGAGGGGATGGAGATGGAGACGGTTTTGACAGATTTTTGCACTCAGGGGATGGCTCCTGTGTAATCTCAAAACGGTCTGAGGGTCCCTTCCATAATCTGACACCTTTTCTTACAGCTGGAGCAGGAGACAAACAAAGCCCTCTGGTTCCTGAAGCAGTGTGTGGCTCTCTTCAAGAGCCCACAGGTTCCCATCCGCTGGGCAGCTGTGTGGTTTGCAGGTATGGCCTTTCGTCTTGTTGGAGCTACTGTGTCCTTGTTGTAGGGTCCCTTAAACTGACTGGGCACCCAGGACATGAGGACACACAGAACCCATGGGAATTACATTGGGGGGTGGGAGTGGAGGTGGGAGTGCCTGCCTGTGCCTGCCTGCTCCCTCCCCTGCAGGAAGCTCCTGGTCGGGTTGGGTGGTAACCTTCCCATAGCAGAATGTGCCAAGTCCTAGGAGACCAACCAGCAGAGAGACAAAGGGTGGGGCATATGGGGTCTGGGAGCTGCTCAGTGGGGGAAGTTCAGAGGTAGGTGGGGGACTGCCTCAGATCACCCCAGGGAACAGCTGTTCAGGGCAGAGGAGTATCCACTCCTTCACCCAGCCCAATTTGCTTAGAACCCTTCAGAGAAGCAAGGGACACAAGTTTGACTTTACGGGAAAAGTTCAAACCTGAGGCTGGTGGCCAAGGGAGGGAAAGACAGGAGAAAGGAGGGGAATGGTGAGTGTTTTGGGAAGGGGGCCAAGAGTACTTGCAGCCAGGACCCCACTGATTCCTGGTGGGGCCTCTGAGGTGCTTCTCTGCGTCCCTGTAGGCCAGATTATCCAAACCCTAGACTTGGAAGAGATTGATGAAATTGAGGAGGCGTACACAGGTGAGTGGCAGCCCAGTTGCCCCCTCCTTGCATCTTTTAGTGGCACCAGTGTTGGTGGGGAATGCTCAGAAGTTAGGAAAAGTGGGCAGATGGCCTCACAAAAATGATCATCCAGAAGTGTGAAGAGGCAGGCTCATCCCCAAGGTGCTTAGGTTCTGAGGTGCTGGTCAGAGCCCTCCTGCCCCATGTTCACTCACACCCTCACCACCATGGAGCCCATTCATCAGCCAGGAGGGTCCCTTGGGTTTCTTGTAGGAGAGACAGTGCTGGGCTCCCATATGTAGTTGAGTCCCTGGCTGCAGCTCTCTTTGAAGTCAGAGAACTTCACACATAGCTATTCTATGGGAAAGAGAGGACGCAGGGCCAGGGAGGGGCAGAGGAGAGGAGTGAGTGGTTGGTAATGGGTGCAGGGTGAGGAGCAAGTGGGCGTCACATCTCCCTGTGCTCACAGCAGCTATGTGGCCTTGCTTGCAACAGAGCGTTGTGGACTCCTAGAAGAAACTCTTGCTCATAGTTTAAAATCCACCAGTCCTGACCCCATTGCCTGGTACCTGTCTGCCGCAGGGCCTAGGCCCTCCTGCAGCCCACTATCCTTTCTCTGTCTGTGTTTCAGCCCTAAGGCACATGCAGAGAGACTCTGACCCCATGGTCAGCTGCCTCACCACACAGACTTTCTATATCCTGGAAGCCAAGAAGAAGCTGCTACTGGCCAAGGCCCCGACCTCCTGCTTCTGCAGGAGGAGGCCCCAAAGGCACTACTTCTGAGCCTGCATCCTTGAGTCTCAGATGTAGGCCTGACCATCAGACCCTGTGACAATGGGGCCAGATTCCTGGGTCCTGTGCTAGAAATGGAGGTATATCCCTGCAGAATCTTTGTAATAAAAGGAAAAAGCATGCACCTTTGTGAAGATAGCTATTAGGTTGTCTTGCCAGTCAATTCTTGGCCTTCTGGGGTAGAGTCACTTGTGAGCCACCTTCTCTCCTGTGAACATCTGGGTCGGGGTGACCTTTCCCTGCTCTGCCCCTCTGCTCCCTTCTCCCATTCAGCCATGGGTCTAAGGCCAGAGCCAGCCGTTTCTTTTGAACCAACCTCAACTATGAGCCGAGGGGGAAGTAATGTTGGCATACATGAGGTGTTCTAGAATGCAGTTGTGATGGTAAGCAACAGAGTTGCTTAAGCAGGAAAGTGATTTATTAAAGGGTTGTTAGTGAAAAACCTCCTGGAAGATCAGAGAGTTTGGGTACCACAGAGCCAGGGACAGTGCTGCTCTATAGAAACACCACCACGACTGGCCCTTGGCACAGCCCAAACCACACTCCATGTGTCAACACTCAGGCCTGGATACTTGTCCTGCAGTGCCCTGCCTCTGCCAGGGCAGTTTTGCTTTGTTACAAGCGATGATAAAAGATAGATCTTACTAAAAACCTATTAACAGGTCAAGTGCATTGGGATAAGACCCACCTCAAAGACTGCTCTGACACCCCCACAAGTCACCTCCTCACTTTGGTCAGGCATAAAATAACAGATACAAGGTAATGAATAAATGGAAAGTAATGGATTCTAGGGCCATCTCTGTCCCAGGATGATTTTGGCCAACTCTGTTGGCCTCTATGGGCCTCAATTCTGTAAAATGTAAATTTATAAACAGAGAGTTGGGAAACATTATCTTTGTTTTTAAAACTCAACTTCAGACGCTGAGAAAAAGATACCTTTTAAGATATCACCTAGTTCTGACAATTGAATGGCTCTTACCAAATTCTGAGAGGTGCCATTCCCTTGTGCCTGGGAAAGCTGCCCCATAGCTTATATCCTAAATGGAATTTTTCTTGACACTCTCTTGTTTTCCAACTTTTCTGAAGTAAGCAGATATTATGCATGTAATCTGGAAACAAAACACCACCCCACATTAAAAGAATACAAGAAGAGTCTCTTAACCCAGTGTTCCTGTCCCCCCCACATCCCGCAGGAGCCTTGGCATCCTCGAGAGACAGGATGAACTGCGTTTGGAAAAATTACCTTGTGTTGCAAACTTTCTGGGGGGTGCAGGGAGGAGCGCAGTGGCAAGGAGGAACCAGATGGCTGGAGTCCACTCCAGGTCTGGCCCGTGACCAGTTCCCCAGTGGCCAGTCTCTGGGTCTTGCCCACACATCCTGTCTAGCCTGCAGCTGCTCATGCGCAGGTGTCACTTCCTGCAGTTCACAGTGGGCTCTTCTGTCCCACTGTCAGGCAGGATCCTATGCAAAATACGGGCCTGTGGGGAGCGAGGGTGGAGCGGGCAGTGGCATTGGTGATGCTGGATCAGCCAGCCAAAAACAGCTGTTCACAAGAAGCACCCTGCTCCCGGGCAAGAAGCTCTGTGCCTGCCAGCGGGGCTGGCAAGTCAGGACAACTCCGCCCACGTGTGTCTCCTTCAATGGCCCAGGGTCCCTCTCACTCACCAAGGCCTTTCTGTGAGGACCAGAAGCCTCTCTAGAGGAAACCTTCCCCAGGAAGCCTTTGCCCTCCCACCCACGGTGACTTCTGCCACCTACAGACTCCAGGAATTCCCTGGCCGAGCACCTGTCACAGCCAGGTGCTGGACAAGCAGCAGGGGACCTGTGCAAGCTGAGGAAGCAATTTGGTTTTATATTTGGGAAACAAAGCAAAGAGAGACCCCACTATATTCCTGATACAAAAATCAGGAAGTTAAGCTTTTTAATCAGTCGTGGCTGGTGATGAAGATGTGGACTCTCCCTGAGGGGCCTCTCTGCCCAGGGGATGGGCCAGAATCTCCGGGAGTTGGTGAAACAATTCGTGGTTATCAAAAGGGAAATATGGGTTCTTAAAGACTGAAAAGCACTGATCTAGGAAAAAAATTATGGTCACACATGGTGGCTCATGTTTGTAATCCCAGCGCTTTGGGAGACTGAGATGGGAGGTAAGGCTTGAGCCCAGGAGTTCGAGACCAGCCTGGGCAACATAGTGAGATTGCATCTCTACTCAAAAAAAAAAAAAAAAAAAGAAAGAAAGAAAGAAAAAAATTACCTTTGTAGAGCTCTTTTCTTATATGATCTTTTCATAGTCTTGCCTTCTTTCCATAAGTGGCAAGGGACTGAGACACATCTGGCATGCACCACGCACAGCGTAGTCCAGGCCCTAGAGAGGCACATGTTACATTATCAAAAGGCAAAGGCTGCTGTGTTCTGGCAGGTCTAGATGCAGATCCTGGCTCTGTCCTTACTAGCTGTGATCCTGGGAAAGTCACTTCCATCCTGAGATCTTTCTCATTTCATAAAACGAGAATGTCACCTGTCACACAGGACAGTGAAGACACAATGAAAAATGCTCTGAACAGTGCCTAGGATATAGCAGGTGGTCCACAAATGCTGCTGTCCACTCTTCCAGCAACTGCATCTGCCTCAGGAGACAACATATGGAGTCTGGAGGAGAATGTGACACTCTCAAAGCTCTCTGTTTTCTAACTGGTGAAGCCTCAAACTCACAGCTCAGGAAGTTCTCATCAGGCTGGGCCCAGCCCAGAGGCCTGCTGCACCCATTCACCCACCCACCCACCACCACTACCAACCCCCTCTCCAAAGGTCCCAGCCAAAAGTCAGCAGCGCCCCGGAAGGGGGCAGGGGACACCTCCACAGACATTGGTCATTCAGGTTTTATTTATGACAACTTCTTAGAACACACACATCCAATCTAGGAACAGAAATGTACAACATGAGGCTTAAATAAGTTTCATACACTATGTACAGCCATCGGCAGAGGTACAAAACATATATACACCTTGTGCTAGTCACATCGCGGAGGACAGCAGGAGTCTAATGAAGCCTGCAGCCTGGGCAGGGCATGATTGCTAGAAAAGAGCTGGTGGGCAGGGCAGGGCCCTGATTCATCTCAGGGGTCTTCTCTGACCCTCGGCTCTTTGTGAAGTAGTTTCTACTTCCTACTTCCCTGCAAGGCCCTCAGGACATGGTTCACGGGACTGAACTGGGGTGTGATGGGGGCTTCAAGATCATGAGTGCTGGGGATGGGGCAGGGGACAGAACAAAGATATCAAAGAAGACACAGAACTTTCCCTGCAAAATCTGTCCTTGCACACAAGACGGCAGGGAAGGATCTGGGAGTCAAGAGAGGAGGGCCAGGCCCAGGAAGGCCTGTGGGGCATTGGCCACTGACCAGGAGGCTATGCCAAGCGAGGAGAGCAGCGAGCAGTTGCCTGTTTGGGATGGCAAAGGGACACATACCACAGGTCCGGGACACACAGTGGGAAGTCACTGCTCCTGCAGGGCAGGTTCTGCCCACACAAACACGATGGTGAACAGACCAGGCACAGGCAACAACCAGGGGATATGCCTGCTCCCAGCCCAGACCACATCGGGGGATGCCCCTCAGAGCTGAGAGTTAGCAGGGCAAAGAAGTGTTATGTTCCCTAACTTCACTGCAGCCGCCTGCTGGTGTCTCCCTCCACCACATCAGGCACATGAGAAAGTCCCCGTGACCTCGTGTTTTCCCCATGTGGTTTTGTGCTTTAAACTGCCCTCTGCCCAGGCCACACAGCCCCAGACAGGCAGCAGGGCTGGACAGCTGAGGATGAAAAGATTCCTAGGCTGAATCCAGGGCGAGGCCATTCCCAGATCCACCGCTGTCCCTTCCCAAGGGGCTGAAGGTGGCACTCTGACCACCTCAAAGGCTTGGGTGTGCCAGCCTCCGCCTGTTAGTCTTTCCTCCTTCCTTGGAAATCTCGCAAGGCAGCTCCAGGCGCTGCCTTTGAGAGTTCCGGCTGCCTCAGAGGAGTCCGTCACTCACATGAAAGCAAATACTGAACTGACTGACAGTGAGGACGGGGCCCCGGCACAGGACTATGCTGAAGAGGCCCAAGGGCAGTGGGGATGGAAGACTCCTTCTATCCAGGGAACCCACTCATAAGCTTCGAAAGCACAAAGTGGGGCTTGACCCAGGAGACAGGGAATCAGAGCAAGCTCTTCAGGCTCACTAGGGCTAGGACTCAGCCTGAACTCAGGCGTTTAGAGATTTGGGGTGCGGGGTTTAGAGAGCGCTTTACTCCTGGTCCCATGGTATACAGATGTGGCTGGGCCTGACAAGGCTCAGATCTTAAGATGGGCACAGAAGGGTGAGAAGTTAGCTGGCGAGTCCCAGAATTAGCACGAGCCATGGGCCAAGGCCTGGTCTGAGCAAGGGCAGCCCCCTGTCCCAGACACAGGCATCCCCAATCTCACTTTGGACAGAGGCAACCTGGGAGGAACTTCCCGGGCCCGGGTCTATCCAGTCTGCCTGCGAGACCCTGCCATTGTGCTCAAATCACAACCATTTTGTGCTTCCAACACTTAGGGTGCTTGTGCAGTGATTGGAGCTGGGGGCCTGCCCCCTAACGATGGACCCTGGACATCCCTGAAAGAGTGGGCAGAGACTCCAACTCTCATGGAGCACAACTTGGGGTGTCTCAGGGATGCTGGGCTCAGGGCTCCCGAAGGACTTCAAGTTTAGAGAGTCAATGACACTTGCCAGGACAGCAGAGCTGGCCCCGCCGTGAGGTAGCTGACCCATCCGAAACAGCGGAAAATGGGCAATGATGATGAGCACCTCTCGCGGGGCCGTAAGATCACACTTCGTGTGAGAACACGCCTTGCAGCTACAGTGCAGTCACCCCAGGTGGGGCATCCCCCGCCCAGCTGTGGGAGCTCAGGGGACAGAGTCTTATGTGTTTCTATCGCTTGTAAACAGTCATGCGGACGGATTCTTTCTTACAGGTTGCAAGGTCAAAACCTTCTGTTCAGGTGGGGAGGGATGGAGAGGAGTGGGAAGAGATTTGTGGCCACATCTCAGAGCTAAGGGGTTACTCAGCACCCCCAGGGTGGCCAGAGGAAGAAGGATTTCCAGTCATTGC